GTGTAAGTGAGTGTGAGTGTCAAGACTGGCGTCCGGGCTCGTTCTGCTATGGCGAGGTTTTCGGGAGCGACAGGCAACATGGGGGAGTCTGCTGTCCCGCCATCGGTTGCAACCTCGCCTGGTGCTGGCGTAGAGACAGGAGGTCCCTGTCTGGACCCACGAGCCTCATTTCCAGTATCGTGGGCGAGGCTAGGGAGTGCATTCCAACTATGGCCAGAAGGAAGCGTGGAATCTTCCTGCCAAGTTGTTTGATGATGGACAACGCTGGGAACCCCGAAAGTGCCGTCAATCGGGAAACCCCTCTCATCAAAGGATGGGTCCCTGAGCCACTCGTTCCAAGCAACAGTTGCTGGTGCAGGTGGCGGCACTGAGAGAATGCTGACGTCCTCTGCTTCAGGAGGCAACGCCGGCAGAACACGATGGCCTACAGGCTCGTCTTGCGCATCGTGGTCAGCACTCGAGCTTGAGTCCTCAGAATCGTCTGATGGAATGCCTTCTGCGAAGAAAAGCAGGGTAGAATTGGGGGCGAAGTGTACATCCTCACCTTGTCGGCTTCCCCCAGTAACCCCAAGCCTAAGGGCGGCAGAGAGGACTAAACCGAATCGGGCTGCAAGGGAGGGAACATGTAGTGCCGGGTAGTTCGTGTAAATGAAACACGGCTTGTACCCAAGTGGTCGAAGGTCACACAACACAAAAATGTCCCGGCAACCACTTCTATCTTGCGTCCTAGCATTGTGGGGACTAATGCTATGGGCTGCTATGATGTGCTCGCAATGCTGTCCTTGCACGTCAAGGTTGGAGATGCGAAAAGAGCACATTATGGCCTCACCTGCCTGAATGCCGAGTCGTTGAGATACAAACTCAACAGTGGTGAGCCCATAATGATGGGATGGCTGACACGTGTATCTCTGATCATTGAACAGCACACACACACACAGCATCAGGAGACTCTATTCGCGGCAGGTGAGCAATGGGCGCCCATTGGAATGGCTCTCTGAAAAGGGCCTCGGTGCTTATCGTGCCGTTTGGAGTGTCTGGATACCAAGAAGCGACAATGACGTCACCATCGTGCAAGTCGACTTCTGCAATTTCAGGCCATGCTCTTCGCCTGCCCCCAACGAAATAGTAAACCTGTCCCTCCTGCTCACTGGTGAGGGGAACAACATATTCGTTGAGGCGATCGAGAGAGAGCTTGCGGGGAAGTACATTGGCAAAATAATGTCCACCAACCCTGGTCAAGTCAAGAATGACAGATGCCGTGCCGACAGGTCCGATGTACCTAGCAGAGTTTGGAACCCTAACTAGTGTAAGAGACCCTGGATGTCTTTGTGGTCTGGCAGGAATGAGCGTGTGAAAAAGCCCTCTTGGCACACCTGGGGCTTGTTCCTTGATGATATCAAGGATTGGGTGGATTCCAGCCCGCGGGTCAGCCTCAACTGCACAGGTAATAGTGCAGTAATGTGGGGTATACACATGAACTCCAAGCCATTGCCGATCTGCACCTTCCTGGGTCGGCGGCAAGTCTCGCACATCCTGTAAACAGAGCCTAGGGTCGGGTGGGGGTATGTCGTCGGGGTGCTCCCAAGAGAGAACGACATGATTCGTACCGACATAGGCTGTGAGTTCCTCAGGAGGAATCTCATGGGGCCGTCTTGGCCTAGGGTCGTCTGGAGGCTCACCTGACCGTGCCATCGCAAGGGAGCCAACTGGGAGAGCCCACGCAAAGTGGGAAACCCATGGCGAAGCAGCACCGGAGGCTGTTGGGATTGCGAGAAAGCACAAAATACTACCCCAAAAACGACTCCAGCGACCAATCCGTGGCACTTTACAAGGGCCACATCCACTGCGAAGTTGCCTCTTCCCTGCCCATGGCTTCCACGAAAGTGGGCCATCGAGCTGCCCAACCTGGCCAAGTGGGACAGCCCAGCAACTCTGAAACCCAATCTTATGTGCAATGCCAAACACAGGTGAGAGGGTTCTGCATGGTCGAAAGCAGAGCGCGCACAGGGCTCCAGCTAAAATTGCAAGCAGGGTCCTGAAAAAAGCGACAGCGAGTGACCCAAGAAAACAAAGGCCAGAAGCAAAGGTGGCTGCACATGCTTGTCCCAGACGGGAAACACGAGCGGGTGGTGGGCGTCCCAGAGCAACCGATACGCCTCTTATGCACTCACCCTTTGCCAAAAAAGCAACAGCAACGTTGGCTCTAAAGTGCTCCTGTGGTTTGCTGTTCCCTTTCTCAAAACTGCTGCCCCTAGATGCACAGATTGGTCCAGAAGGGTGGACAGGCTCACCCGTATCATCGACAAAATCTGCCAAAACTGCATCCGGGGTGCCATTGCTGCAGAAGCCAAAACTCCTGGGCTGGCAGCCAAAAGGAGAGGCGCCTTGCACCCAGTGGGCAGTAGATGAAGAGAATGCCCCGTCACGACCGAAGGAAAGAAGCCACTCACACTTAAGGGTAGCCGGCCCAGCGCCACCGATCCGACTTTTAGGCACTCCTTGGAGGTGTGAGTAACACAAAGGCAAAGAAAACTGCCAAGAACCGGCAGGTGGCGAGGCCCAGCTACCAACTGTGAAAGCCCAACACAGTGGCAACTGAGCAGAGGAGACTGACAAAGGGGGCATGCCGAACCCAAAAGTCCAAAGGGCACGACAGCTCCCTCGTCTGCAAGGTGGGGCAGCATTCGGTTCTTCAAAAGTGCAGGCCTCGATTCCTATTAACTCGGCTGTGTGAGACCAGTAATCTCGACGGCTTTGCCCAATGTCAGGCCTTTCCGAGCTGCATTGACCAGGGGGATGTGAACAAAGAGTGATCACAACCCCAAGTTGTGATCGACTCTCGTAGGGTCCCCATAGCCTGCCGACCCAGAAAGCTTGACACAAAGCTCGCCGCGAGATTACTCTACTGAAACTCACGGTAGATCTCAGGTGTCTGGCGGCGGAGGCTTGGTAGATCCGTTGGCCTCGTCCGGCTCCTCGAAGTGCTCGTCGTCGGTCTCGGAAACCTGGACCTCTAAGGGCTGGCCGTTGTGCGAGAACTTGAAAAGTCCAACACTCTGGGCTTCTTGTGGTCCGATGCCACCAGATGGTGCAGGACCCGTGCCAAAAGGGCGCATAGCTTTCCCAGCTTCCATGGCCTGCAGCATGGCTGCTGCCCTGACTGCCTCCAGCTTGTCCGCCAGGGGAACACCACCAGTGGTTGTAGGTGCCACGCCACTCGGGTGGCTTGACTTGACTGGTTTCCTGGGCGGAGCGTTCTCCTTGGGCGCCCTGGTCCTTGGCCGGCTGCCACTGCGGGCACCTTCCATCGGATCCAGGCCTGGAGCTCCTGAAATCGTGGGTCGAACCGCAGTTGGAGAAAGCTGTTGCGGTTCTCGAGCACCACCATCCCCGTATAGGGTCTCCCGTCCATCTGGCTGTGGAGGAAACGATGGATGTGGCGAACGTGGTGTTGCAAGCACACGTCGCGGAGGGGTGCCCCCATCTTCCCCACTCGGTGGGCGAGGACGGAGTCCTTGGCGAAGGGCTCCAAGCTGGGCCCGCCTCGCAGCTTCCAAAGCATCGCGAAAGAAGCCCGGTTCCGTGTCCATCTCCATGGTCGAACCCTGGGCCATCATTTCGTCCCAAGCTTGCTCCACTTCTTGGGCTTCGGTCGCCTGCTGCTGTCGTTCCGTGGAATGCCCGTACAGTGCTAGCAGTTGAACATCTTGTGCAGCTGTCTGTCCTGCAGCTGTGGCATTCTTGATCTCCTCTGCATTGCGAGCGAGGTCCGCGTCGTACTGCTTCTTCTGTTTGGAAAACGCCTGCTTCATCAAAGTGGAGTATTTTTCGAATTGCGTCTTGCGGTGGGCCGCTTCCATCCGCAACTTCTTGACCCTCATGTCCGCTTTCTTTGCCTGAGTCAAGGCACGCTGGACTTCCTTGTAGGCTACTGGGAGGTCCGTTTCGATCCCCTCCTCGGGTGCCTCTGTTGTCGGGGCTGTTGTAGCCCACCATTCCTGTCCAGTTTCGACCTGGTCGTAGCGGAGGTGCACGGGGTTCTTTGCTGAGGCCTTCGGGGAGGCTGAGGCTGCACCACCCCACAGTCGCCATGACTGCCCATGCCCATGCCCATGTCCCTGGCCGCGTGAGTGCCAGGAGTCGTCGTCGTCGTTCTGCCATGACTTCTTGCTTCCCCTTCCCATAAGCACACCCAACTCGCGATATCGAGGTGCTGTATGATGAGAAGCTAGCAAGGCTAGCGATCTCAAAGGAGGGAGCCGGCCTTGAGCACGGCAACGGTGAATAACACCGCGGGCCAGACTTCGCCGCCTACGAAGTCTTCTGTGCCACGCCGGACTATTGCAAATCGTGGTCTACCGAAAGGGACCACTGGGGTCTACAGGCAATGCCGCTCTCGGCTGGCTCGATCCCGGACCCTACATACATACATACATACATACACATATACATATACATATTATACGTCTCTATGTATATATATATATATGTACATGTACTCTACAGTGTGTATGTATATATATATATATATATATATATATATATATATTCTACATTATATACTAAGTCAGGATTTAGGGCTTTTTGGGTTTAGGTTTCCTGAACCGCAGCCGTGGCTCAAGCGCCGCAGGCCATGGACGCTAAACCCCAAGGACCAGAACCTAAAAGGACCTCGTGGAAAAGGGCTCCTTGCAGAAGGGAGGTTTGAGTTTCAGGGTTTGGGGCTGATTAGGGATGCAGAGATTTTATAGGGCCTTTGGGTTCAGGGTTTGGGGATGTAGGGTTTGAGGTGGTCGTAGCCCCAAATCCTCTCAAACCCTGAGCCATGCGTGCAGCAGACTTTTTCTACCGGCTTTGCAAGGTGCCAGGAAGGGCTGAAGTTCGTGAACAGAGGCTTCGGATGCTGCAATGGCTAGCCAATATAAACCTGAAAATCTACAAACCCCAAACCCTCGGCCTCAACCCGGTAGTCCCCAAAGCCCTAACCGTATGAGCCGGGCCTGTTCATCCAAGGCATTGCCAGCATAGGGATGCCTTGGTAACGTACCAGACTTGCTTACCTTCTGAACCCTACTTCTGGCTCTGGCAAAAGGGGCCTTATTGAGAGGGTCTATATCCCCAAGGGTCCCCCTAATTAATCCTAACTCCCACCTCAGCGATGCCAACCTAAACCAACACGCCCGGCCCTGAACAGAAAAAGAAGGACTTCTTTGTATCTTCGAGAGGCTCTTGCAGCGAAGCCTTTCGCAGTTCGCAGCGCGCGACTGATGCCACCGAAGTCAGACCTTCTTCGGATCAGCATGCGGGTGGCTCTCTAAATTAGGGTCCCTTTTGATCGCAACCGTTCATAAAAATGACTTTGGGGTAGCCCTTTGTACACTACGCCTTACAAGCCTCACAGAAATCCTAGTAGCAAGCTTATCAGAGCTCAGTATACCCCCATAGTATACCCTCATAAAAATATGTACCCATCAGTGTATATACCCTTATTAGAGTGTACCGTATGTGTAGAGGACCCTTAAAACTGCCTGCGCCCAGGTCGACCACGAGGCTGTCAGAGCGCCCCGACGCGATAGTTGCGGCCAGGGCTGAGGGCAGCAGGGACACCTCATTGAGGTTTAGCGTTTAGGGCGTTTAGGGTTTAGGGTTTGGTGTTGCCCAGAGCCTCCAATACCCCTTAATTAAGGAATATGCATTAATTAATCAGATTGAGGATCCTAATATATTCTAAGGTATATTCCTTATTTCGGGGATATTGGAGTCTCTGCGTGCTTTTGCGCTCAAGATTTGGGGCCACCGTATTTGCAAAGATTGCGAAACTTTTGTTGCCACTCTTGGTCTGCTTCTGCAGCAACAGCTACGACTGGGATAGAGACCGTGGTGATGATGATGACAGATGATGATGACAGTGGTGATGATGATGAGGATGATGATGGTGATGGTGATGCGGTCGCCGATAAAGCTGTAGTGTTACTGGCTTTGGTAATGCTGATGGTTACAAAGAAAACTGTGGTTCTTATGCTGATGATGACGTTGATGATGGGGATGGCGGTGAGGTTGTTCGCGGTGGTGCCGGTGCTGATGCCGACCATGATGTGGATGGTGAGGTAGTTGCGAAAAAGGCATTTGCAGTGCTGCTGCAGCTGAGGATAATGATGATGATGATGCTCAAGATGATCGAGAGATGGTATTGATGAAGATGGGGAACCAGTTGATGATCGAAATCATTGTGATGCTGGCAATGGTGTTCATGATAGAGACGGTGGTGCTGTCGATGCAGGCGGAAACATCATGCTGGTGATGCTGGTGCAGATGATGGTGATGATGGGCTTCATCATGAAAACCAGACAGCATGCTGATGAAGGTGCTTGGTTCTTCCATGAAATCACTAATTACAAACATCCGAGTAGGAACTCTTCGCACTGCCTCCGTTCATGATGGCCATAGCTGTCGAACACTGTGCTGCTGCCCACTGATATGATTGTTGTTTCTGTAACCGTGGCTACAGCCGCGACTTCACTGCAGTGCCATGTACATATCATAAGTCTCCGATGTTGTCCGAGACAGAGTGTGCACACTATATCTCTGTTTGGTGGATGCTGCATCACCGATTATGCGGTGCGCTCTCCCTACATGCATTTTCGGCGATCACGCAGCAAGCGTTCATTCAGATTTGCGCTGCCTGAACCTGCGACCTTACGAACTTGGCGGGATGGTAACTGAACGTGCCATTCCGAAAACACAATGAACCAACCCCTCTTCACAGTGCACCTAAGTGGAGCAAAACGGTGCATAGTTAACTAGGAGAGGGCTTTGGCAGTACTCTGTGCTGCAACAAGCCGGGGGCCGAGATGGGCCGAGTAGTTAGAATCGGGCTTAGGGGTGCATTACTTTGATCGGATAAGTTATGAAAGAGGATGTACAAAGGTATAATACTGATGACTAAGACCTCAGACTTTCCTAGGTATAGAGTATAGAGGAACAGACGCACAAGTATTGCAGGTCTTCGCCTTGCATCTGTGGGCCTCGAGAAGTGCTGTGCAAAGAAGCCCACTGCGTCGTAAGCGTTGAATCGAAAGGACGTAAGGAAGCAATGTGGCTCCTGTCTGCGGCCAAAGACTGTTGCCTTAGGATGTTTGATGCATGTGTCCTACACACAAGCCCAGAAGTCCCAGACCATGTACAGCCCTCATCAGCCCTCCGAACACGTTGCTCCCGGTTAGAGTGCGAAGTGAGCCGCGCCGCTCGCACCCTTCTCCAAAGCGAGTTCGGCAAGGGCCCTGAGCGGAGTCAGCTTTGCCCAAACCCTAACGAAAGCTTACTTGCATCTATTCGGCACGCAGACTTCGTCCAAGGGACCACAGCTACTACTGCTACTGCTGCTGCTACTGCTACTGCTACTGCCACCGCTACTGCAGAAACCTACACCACCGCAAGCCCCGATCCCCGAGCTGAACGAAGCCTACAACCCCAAATTTTCTACAGTGCCGCCCAGAAGCTGCCGAAACGAGACTGACGCCGCATTGGGCGTTGAGATCAACAGTGCGGGCCTGCGGAGTACGACCAGCCAGGGCTTTCGTGCTCGAGGCTTACGGTTTAGGGACGTAGGGGTGTCGTTGAGGCTAGCTAGTACAAGGGCTCCTTTAAGGCTACTCTAGGGTTTTGGCTTTAGAGTTGTAGGTTTAGGGCTCCTTTAAGGGCTCCTTGAAAAGTGTCGTAACGGGTTTCGGGCTTCGCGAGGTTTTAAGGGACTCAGGGTTTCAGGTACTCATCATTTCGGACTTAGGGTTCGGTGGTTTAGGGAGTGGGGGGTTTAGGGGTTTAGAAGTTTAGGGTTTAGGGTGGGGGCTCAGGCGGAGGAGCTTTACGCATCAGACGTTAAGTTTACGATCAACCCTTGTCCTTCAACCTCAATGCACTAAACCCCGAAACCCCTAAACCCACTCCTAAAGAAAACATAAGACCCTAAAACCCTTTGTATCCAGAGCCCAAAGCCAATGCTCCCGAATCCTCAAGCCTAAACCCCTAAACGAAAAACCCAGTAAACACCCGTACTAAACCCCAAAACCTTGCATCCCATGCAGTAATGCCCGGATCTAGAACCCCTAAACCCTAAACCCCTAAACCCTAAACCCTAAATCCGTAAACCCTAAATCCCTAAACCCTAAATCCCTAAACCCTAGACCCCTAAACCCTAAATCCCTAAACCCCTCGGGTTTAGGTGGTTCGCCTGGAAGACTGAAAGTCGCCTGCGAAGCTGGAAACCTCCGCAAGGATGTCCTGCCCAAGGCGCTCATCGTACTATTCGGGCTCAGGGCTTGGGATAATAAGAACATCTACACCCCAAACCCGAAAGCCTAAACCCACATAACAAAACCGGAAGAAACGGGTTTAGTGCTTAGAGGCCTTTCTGGCCTCCGCAAGATTCTTTTGGATGTTGTTTTTGCCGCAAGTTGGCGGTTTAAGAGTTTAAGGCTCAGAGCTTCTAGGTGTGTCGGACTCAAAGAGCCGGGGCTTGTGGGATTGCGGGTTCACAGGATTTCGGCAGCTCTCTAAAGTAGGCTTTTTTTAAGTCTTCTTACAAGGGTGCCGCGCAATTTGGGGACCTAAAAGCGGATCCTCATTTAGAGAACAAGCTTTCAGGATATACCCCCCCAAGCGCTAAACCGCATAACAAAAGCTTGCGGAGTGTCGCGGAATAGCATGTTGAGGGCTGAATCGAGGTTCTGATTGCCCTTGGTCGCAGAACTTCAACGACCTGAACTCCTAACCACAACAGTCCTACTCGTATTTCTCTAGATATGGTCCTTCTTGTATAGCTCGCCCAAATGGTACGGCACCCTTTTCAAAACGACCCCAAAAGGGCCGCAATTTCGAGAAGTACACATAGAAGCCTGAACAAATACCGATACTATTCCTTCGGGCTTTTATCTTTCAGGGATCCTAAAACACAGTTCCATGTATCCAACATTAAGCAACCAATCCCTGCTTCGATTCTAGGCACTGAAGTTCTGAGAGCTTAAGGGTTTAGGCTTTAGGGCTTGAGGGACCCCATCAGCAAGGCCTGAACCCTATAGCTCCTTCGTTTTATGGGGTCGTGTTGGCCCCTGAATGGTGTACCTGAGGGTTTAAGGGTAGAGGAGTTTAAGGTTTAGGGCATTCCGGCCCCTATCACCTGAACCCTATAGATCCTTCTTTTTATGGGATTGTTTTGGCCCCTGACCTATAGATCCTTCCTTTCATGGGGTCGTTTTGTCCCCTGAATGGTGTACCTCGAAGACTTCCGGCTCCAGCGTAGACCCAGCATGCTGAGCTTCGTGATGGTAGCCTAGGGTGCAGCAGGGGCTTTTGGTTCTAGAGTTTAGGGTTTAGGGTTCGGGGCCTAGGACTTTCGGGTTTTTTATCGGGTTGGGTTTAGGGTTAGCAGCGGACAGAAATGGAGAAAACATGTAAGACATCGTCCGAGGCATGCCAAGTTACCCAACACTTCGATACGAGTATGCCTATTTGCTCTTTCTGCTCGCAAATGTTGCCGTGGATATGCAGCTGGGCTGACTGCTGTGCAAAGAGTGGTGATGTATACAAAGTAGCAATAGCGCAATTCCCTGGTGCAACATCTCCGCATGCCCAAGGAACTCAATGCTGTCACAGGCAGCACCTGTGGCAGGCAACAACTGTCCGCAGCCGCAGATTTCGGGCCACTAGGTCGTTCTTTCACCAACCCCCGACAAGCAGGCTTCCACCCGAAGCAAAGAAAGGAACCCTTATAAACCATAACCCCAGGAACCCCAAACCCATCCGCCTTCTGTGGCATCGGCCGGCAAGCATCGCCAAGCCGTGTCGAGCTCGCCCCTGTGTTGCCAGAGCTTTAGAGCGCGAAAGCGCCCGGGTTTGCAGGTTTAGGATTTAAGGCTGCGAGATTAGGCTTTGTGGTTAATGTTCAGATTGCAGTCACAGGCACCAAGCAGCTCGAAACTTAGACTTTGAACACTCAACGGCAGCATCATATACAACAGAACGTCAAACCTCCCAGCAACCACAAACACCCCAAGGCTCCATGTACCGATATAGTATATACATAGGCCTTAAAGTAGCTACATAGGGACCCCTTTGATTGGGGAGCAACTTAAGCGGGGATACCCTACCAGCGGGGATGGGCGTACCTAGGGGCTCGGGCCGGGTCTGATTTTGGCAGAGGTCATGTGTGAAGATTGCGGAGCTGGCTATTTTTCAACATCCGTCACGAAAGTAGCATCGAAATTAGGAACCACGGATCAAACGTTTCTGCTTCACAATCCCTCAAATCCAAGTCATGTGTCATGTTTTGGAGGCCCAGCTTTTCCAAGCAGTTCCATGCGAACTTGGATTGTGTTGCAGCGCTGGCCAATGCAAGATCTTTGCTTCCATGCTGCATAAAGGGCTTGAAGTTGAGGGCTTGGCTTGTGACTTTTTGGGTTAAACTGACCTATGTCCGTAGGTTTGGCGCGGGCAAGCCGAACCAGACGTCTCTCATGTGCACGTATGTGCACGATGTCTGTGCTTCTCTATCAAGGGGTCTGCTCATAAGAGGGGTTGTGGGGAGACCACAGACCGAAGCGCGTTTCAGGGGCGATTCAAGCGCATTTCAATGGAAATGATGATTACAAGAGCATGCAAAGACACCGAAGAGCAATCACAGATCAAGCGTGTTTCCAGCGTGTTTCAAGCACAGTTCAATGGTAAGGAAGATTCCAAATAGGTTAAAACGAAGCCAAAAGCAAATACAGATCAAGCGCGTTTCAAGCGCATTTCAATGATAATGAGGATTGCAGGGGCTTCTACGAAACCAAAGAGCAATCACAGATCAAGCGCGCTTCAAGCGCATTTCAATGGTAAGGAGGGTTCCCATCGTTTAAAACGGAGCCAAAACCAAACACAGATCAAGCGCGTTTCAAGCGCATTCCAATGATAATGAGGATTGCAGGGGCTTCAACGAAACCAAAGAGCAATCACAGATCAAGCGCGTTTCAAGCGCATTTCAAGCGCATTTCAATGGTAAGGAGTTTCAAACGGAGCCAAAAGCAAACACAGATCAAGCGCGTTTCAAGCGCATTTCAAGCGCATTTCAATGATAATGAGGATTGCAGGGGCTTCAAAGAAACCAAAGAGCAATCACAGATCAAGCTCGTCTCAAGCACATTGCCATGGTAACCAGGATTCCATAGTAACGAACGAAGCCAAAGCCAAACACAGATCAAGCGCGTTCCAAGCGCGTTTCAAGCGCATTTCAATGATAATGAGGATTACAGGGGCTTCAAAGAAACAAAAGAGCAATCACAGATCAAGCGCGTTTCAAGCGCATTTAAAGCGCATTTCAATGGTAAGGAGGGTTCCCACCGTTTAAAACGGAGCCAAAACCAAACACAAATCAAGCGCGTTTCAAGCGCATTTCAATGATAGTGAGGATTGCAGGGGCTTCAACGAAACCAAAGAGCAATCACAGATCAAGCGCGTTTCAAGCGCATTTCAATGGTAAGGAGGGTTCCCATCGTTTAAAAACGGAGCCAAAAGCAAATACAGATGAAGCGCGTTGCAAGCGCTTTACATGCGGATTTCAATGGCAATGATCGAGGTTTGCAGGGGCTTCTTAAACCAAAGAACGATCACAGATCAAGCGGGTTTCAAGCGCGTCTCAAGTGCACCTCAGCTGTCTTTGAAGCGCATTTCATGCGCGCTGCACTTGCTCACAAGTGCCTTTGAAAGCAATTGATGCACATTCCAATGTTCAGGCAGATTGTGCGGTAAGGATGATTGCATGCATGAGTTCAGAGAAACCACAGACCGAACGCAGATCAAGTGCGTTTCTAGCGCAGTTGCAGCCTATTACAAGAAACAAGCCACACAAGCGAAGGGCGAATTGCAGATGCAGTGCAATGAACCGCACAACTCATGCATATCAGGAGGATCTGCACCAATTTTGCAGAGACGCAGAGCAAGCGCACAGCAAGTGCAGCGTAAGCACAGAGCGAGCGCATTTCAAGGGTATTTCAGGCAGGGCCACACAACCATGTCACACCTGTGTAACCAAAACAACCTGCAGACCACAGGGCCTAAAACATCAGAACAATAGAAGCAACACATATACATCCATTGATTTCACTCGCCAATAAAATCGTGTTCGGAAGGTAGTCACTGCAGCAACCGCAGAGCAATCCGAAACCACTCGCAAGATAAGTGAGCCAACCAACGCAGAACTGAGAGAATGCGGCGACTAGAACTAAGGCAAGAAGACCGGCTATGGGACTAGCTTCTATACTGACCCACAAAAATTGACGGCACATACTTATCCCAGCTCGCAACCACTAAAAGCGACTGCAGAGGGACACCACAAATATCTTCGAGAACTTATTGTTGTAAGCTCACTGCCAGGAAATCAAGCAGTGACTAACACAAATGAGCCATGAGCCTGGACGATACATAGCTCAGACAGAACAAAGTAGCACCACAAACCTTTCAAGGTAAATGCAAGTATCAAAGCCTCGTCAAAATTTACTTGCTTATGTGCACGAATTATCGTCGATGCAGTCTCAGAGTATGCGCTGTCAGGCATGACCAAACGCAACTATTTTCTAAAGATTTTAACTTTTTTAATACGTCAGACCAGGGTCAATATAGGTATACGTATTACAATACCCTGACCTGCGACGTCCATCGAATTTCAATATTCATTCCAATCACGAGAACGGATCACAGAACAGAACCAAAAACCTTGGCAACAAAGCCCTGCCGACCGATCCGAGTGGAGTCAGTGGGGGTCTCCTCCAAGATTTGTAGCTTCTGCAATGACAGTCGCTGTCTCCATTCGTTAGACCATCAGAAGGTTGAGGTTTTAAAAACTACTGCTTACGGCTTAGGGGTTTAGGGTTTAGGAACAGCGTGCTAAACAAATGGTGCTTGCATATAACTACCCAGGGACCCATTTTGAGGGGACCGCCCGGCCAACTTAAGCGGGGATCTGGCGTACCTTTTTGGGGGCCCAAATGCGCCCAAAATGCGCCCAAAATGCTACGGGCCCCGGCCCCGGTCAACTTAAGCAAGGCTGTGCGTACCTACTCAACAGTAGAAGGGCGCCTGGGAGCCTTTATCAGGCCAATCCCGAAACCCAGGGGTGAGCGGGGATACGCGTACCTATCTTTATATAAAATACAATACAAAGACTCCGCCCCATACCGAGCCTGAGCGGGGATACGCGTACCTCGCCTCGGAAAAACGATTTTGGTCGGACCCAAAAGCTACGAAAATGGCACCCAAAACGGTCAACTTAAGCAAGGCTCTGACGTACCTCGCCTCTTGCCTAAAACGCCTCAGAAATATGCTGTTGCTTGCCAAAAAAAGCCCACCTGCGGCGGGCGCACCCAAACTTTGTCCGTCGTGTGGTTGTACACCATGATGTTCAGCCAATCGTCACTTCCCACGTGCACTGCATCTGCCACCACGCACAAAATGTCCGTCGACTGGAAATCTGACTTGCCCTGCGTGACATAGGCGTATCGCTCCATGCGTGCTAGCCTGTGTGCGTCCATAGAAGCGTGCTTCTTGATCTTTTGCTCGTCCTCCGTGGGGGTCTCCTCCAGGATGCATACGTGTCCATGCATCGTGCAGATGAGTGCCCTGCGTGTAGACTGACATGAACTCGCCATTTCCTCTCGGAAGCCCACAGACGATCGACGACACCCGGCGGCACCCCTTCAACAGCACGGGAACGTTGATTAGTTACTAAACTCAAACGTTAAACCCCTAAAACCCAAACCTCAAAGCTAAACCTTAAGCCCGAATGCTTCCTCAGCTTCATAGTGTGCTTGACATTAAGCGTGTCCAGTAGGAATGGGTGTTGTCCGACGAGTCTTCGCACCTGACAAAGCCTCCATCAGGCAGCGCTACATCTTGGGGCGGGATTCTTTGCGATTCTCGCTCACTGTCCGGCTTGTGCAATTTTAAGAATCATCCTGCGGGTCCATCGCTGTGTCACCTCCTTCACGTCCAGGGAACCTGCTTGGAATGGAAGCACGTGTGTCCACGGCCGTGTAGTCCTCCTCCGCAATGACGACGAAACCATCGTCGACGATCCCAGGCAGTTCCAGCGAATCAACCGGTCGCGCAGTGTCCGGCGTGTCTTCCTGCTCGAAGTGCTCCGGGAATGCTGCATTGACCGGCGCAAAGTGATCCTCGTCTCCGCATCTTCAAACTCCTCGTCGTCCTGCATTTGGTCCTGCTGCTGTCCTTCGTCCGACTCAACCTCGGCCCAAAGTCCAACGTTCGCCATCTCCTCCCTCACAGTCTCCGAGTCGGTGTCGGCCTGGTTGTCATCTGGGTCCGGCGCCTTCATGTCCGCCTCATGCGCCCTGTCGCACTCCTGCTTGTCCGCGTCCAGCAAACCGGACTGGACGGTCACCACATGCCACGGGAGTTCCCTGCTACACCAGCCCTTGAAGGCGTACTTCGCCATCTCGATGTACTCCGGCAGTTTATGCGACGGGCCGAGGTCCGGCAGCGACAAAACAATGGTACCACTTCATGTCCCACATATTGGGGCGGTTGAATGTCGGCAGAAAGATGGCGTTCCCCGTCGCGAGGGCGGACAGTCCGGCGGCGCTGCGTTTGCCCCGCTTGGCTCAGCAGATTTTTAAAGAGGGACCACCAGTCAGTCAGGGCGAATGGAGCATATGCAACACAGCTGCAGTACGTAGAGGTTAATGATCAGCCGCATGTTGTCGAAATTGAACTCCAATACAAACGACAGAACTGCGAGGACAAGGAGCAGCGTGTTCCGCATTGGATAATGATGTTGATTGACAAGGGCTGGAGAACCTTGTAGCTGACCGTCCGGGAACCTTTAGCAACAATCAATAACATGAGTTACGTCACAGGCCACTTATCTACTCCGCGCTGCATCGGTGCAACGACACTGGATTGCAATTGTGGTACCTCGTGGGCAAGTGGTGTTTTTCTCCATGTCCGTCAGGCTCAGCCCTCGAAAGCCGATGTCCCAACACATGTATGTCTTCTCGTCGATATTTTTGTGAGGTGCCTGGCCGACGACGCCATTGCTGCCCAACGTGTGAGAATTCGTGCTGGCCGGGCCTGCGTAGAAACACACATCGTGCAGTCAGAAGTGCACACATCGCGTCACTGTACTATCTGATATATCAGACAAGAAACAGGAGTACGGCTTCGGGCATTGCTTGTCGGAGCCGACAGGCAAAACCTCGCGTCCGTCGAGACGCGAACTTCCCCCGAGTAGCTCCCCATGTTGCCCGTCGGGCAAGGCTGCAAAGTCGAATTGGGAGCGAAGGGAGTTGGCCTCGCATCGGAAAAAGCCATGGCTGCGAAAAATGTACTAAGGAACGGCGAGGATAATGTGTAAGAGACCTGAGGGGAACTAAGTAGTGTACACACTTCCCTAGGACCTCGACAGGGACGCTACATGTTCTTATTGACATCTTGATGCGCATGCTATACGTGTTAAGGTCCAGTATATATGCTGCGTGAAAGACGTCTGTCCGAGTGACAGTGCCCCTGCAAGTCGTCTGCAGTGTTGCTGTGACTGAGGGTAATAGAAGCTGTGCTCATGCTCTAGAACTAGGTTCTGAGTCTGGTCCAACATGTGGCAATCGAAGAACCGATGCTCATCAAACAGCTTCAACCATGCTCGCATGCACACACGTCACATCAGCAACAATCATGTCATGAGCAGAGCAAGTTGGAGGGCGGAAGGCACCTAGTCCAGCGAAGAGCATGGCATCGGCGATGCAGATAATGTCCACCGTTGCAGAACGACCGAGGATGCACAACGGGTAAGTCTCATCGGGTTGAACTACGGGTGGCCTCTCAAAACAGCTGAAGAAATACACCCCAGGCAACATCTGGTAGTCAAATTCTGTGCTTATTTTCGGCCTGTTATCCAATCCACAAATTCATACTACTATTTTCCACACAAATCCATTAACATCAAACCGCTGTCCAAGCGGGTGTTTGCTTAATGTGCTTGCTTTTTCGTTTAGCTTAGAAGCTTCAGACTTGAATACGCACAAACACCACCGACAAGTAAACCACACTCAATTGTCATGATCTCAAAGGTGGGGGTTTAAACTCACGAATGTGCAATTTTTGATGATCATGTAAAACGGCCCAAAACATACGCCCTATCCCGGCCATACGCGTATCCCTGCTTAAGTTGCTCTCTGATTTGAGGCCCAAGTACCTACTATAACGGCACATGGAGCCTTTGGGATAGACAGGAGAAGGAACACCGGCGCTGCCCATGCTCGACATGCACAACTACCTGAAACTACAAACACTAAACACTGAACACTAAATCATAGACCCTATAACCCCCGATAACCCATAAAAACCCTAAAACCCCAAATCCTAAACTCCTAAACCCTGAAACTGTAAACCCGACAAGCTTCATGAAGGCTTGATCGCTCACCAAGGCAAATTGCCTTCCTGGCCGGTCTCAATTTAGCATTGAAACAAAGGGCCTGGACCTGAACTCCAAACCGGATATCAGGACGGCCTAGGTCGATGGCGATTTTCACAGACTCTGGCGACTGCGGCATGGCAGCTGGGGAAAATCCGAAGCTTCGACGATTTCGGCTTCGGGGCTTTAGGGCTTGAAGGCTGTAGGGTTAAGGCTACGGCTAAGGTTTAGGGTTGAAGGCTTGGGGCTGGGCTTTTGTGGTTTAGGTCGTCACGAGAGGCTTCACGGGATTGAAATTTTAAGCTTGGGGCTTACGGCTCTAGTGCGAGAGAAAGGCTTTGGTGGTTTCATGGTTTAAGGGTATAGGGTCTTGAGCTCCAGGATTTTATTTTCGCGGCTTCATCAAGGCTTAGTCGCGAGAAGCCTTTCACTGGGATTTGGGGTTGCAAGCTCCTTCAGAGCTCTGGATCTTAAGTGCTTCATGCGTATGGTTTAGTCCCCAGGACCTTCAGCCCTATATTCTCGGCGATCTCTTCATGGTGCCTACCAACAGAAAGGGCGGCTCCCTGAAAGGAGCCAGAAGCGGCGGAACGAATATGACAGACTCAATCAAAAATCTCATCTAGCATAAGGGTTCCTTTAAGGGTTCTAAATTGGTTTGAAGGTGTATGGGATTGAATCATTCGAATAGGGTCTTGTGGGGTGAAATTTTTGAAAATGCCATCAGGAGCCGTAAGGAACAATATTCGCATTTCTTCGCTCTTCTGCATCATGACAGAAGCTCAACCGGGACGATGTCCCGACAAAGGGGTAGGGTTCAACAGCGCATTTTAGATTCTATTTTGGAGCTCGGTCATTAAACCTTACCCCCTAAATCCATACTAAAGGTTAGCCTGGGTGTCTATTCTTTTGTGGTCTCGGACTACTTGGAAGGGCAGGGGACTTAGTAAGTAGGTTATAAGTAGGGTTATAATTGGGGTAACTCCATTTAGGGTACTTATAACTCTACTTATAATCTACTTACTAAGTCCCCTGCCCTTCCAAGTAAGATAGTTTGGGGTTTCCGGGCTCCTGCTGGCCGTACGGGCTTCAAACAGCTCTGGCTCCGGTCAAAGCATCAAGGCCTCGGAACTGTAAACCCTGGACCCGAAAACGCAGGAATCAGAGGTGGACGAAGGAAATGTTCGACCGCGGAATCTGCTGTTTTCGGCGTGCGTACATATGTGTATGTATGTGTATATATATATATATACACCTATACACACACACATACGTACATACATACATCATACATGCATACAGAAGAGAGAGGAGCTGTAGGGCCTGCGCTTGTGCAAACAGCGATATGACTGTTCATGTACTTGCCCGTTTCTGTGTTTTCTAGTCTTGTCTCTCATTTAGTATTGTGTGTGCGTGTGCGTGTGTAAAAGATATATATACATGCATATATATATATATATACATATATATATATACACACAGAGAGAGAGACAGGGAGAGAGAGTTATGTCGGTGGGTTCATGATATGCTACGAGTCAAAATTTCTGTAGATTGTAGATGCTTGAATTCGGAAGCTCGGGAAGACCTGAGGGTTACGGCGCTCTTGCTTGGCTCAGCCGCAGCTCAGCACGCGACTGGTCCACTTCTATGTTGAAGCAAGTGTGGCTCCATGTCGACCACTCCTCGGCTGAGTGTGGTGTGGGTTCCTTCGGCTCTGGCGGCAGAACAACGACCTGTCAAAACAATAGCGCGAGGCACTGAGGCGCACGAGATTGAGGCTAATGTGTCTAGCAAGGAATTTGCCTCATGTCCCGCCTGTATTTCTCATAGAGCTCATAATACAGAACCGAATAGGTCTAGTTGAGACTCCTAGGCTCAAAGCCCTGAAAGCTAAAGACCATATACCCTCAACCCGGAAGGCCTTTAACCTTAAACCACCCATAAAGCTCTAGACTCCTTTTCCTTCAAGTCCATAGCAGACAGGGAGCTCAGAAGCTTGAAACCCTGCTTCAACCGTCCAAGGAACACCAGTGCAATGCAACGAGAGCCCCATACTCTGGGGTGCTCTGAAAGCCGACACCCACGTCTCGTCAACAAAAACACAGTTTTGTTGCAAGAGCAGTTGATCAAACCCCGTGGCAAGATCCTCAACACTTCACTCTGATACGTACAGCTAATCCTCACCCCATTGCTGGTATAAGGAGACCTCCAAACCCAAAAGCCCGAGCCCATGGCTGTCCACTGGCAGTCGATATTCCCGAGCGTGCTGCACCTGCTGTTCAACTTAGATGCTCCGGAACAGCTCAGAGGAGTTAATCAGCACATTCATGATTAGTAAAATGACTACATGACTCTACAACTAGGATAACCCTGTGAAGCCAACGGCGAACCCTTTCTACGTCTCCTTATCCTTGAAGAAGTCCAGACGCTGTCAGATTTGGTGGAAGACTGGAGTTTGCTCTTTCCGATCATCTAGTTTGGCACCAACATCGGCAGCATTTGCTTGTGCTGGGTATCTGGCTTCGCATCGCCTTCCGAGGTATCTGATCTTTCAGAGTATCTGGCTTGGCATCGCCATCGGAGGCATTTGCTCTTCGGCCGCAATCTCGAAATCCCTCAAGGTTGCGAAGGGGTCTACCCAGAGACTCCAATATCCCTTAATTAGGAATATGCCTTCAATTATAGTAGGATCCCTAATATGATTTACGGAATATTCCTTAGTTAAGGGATATTGGAGTCTCTGGGTGGGACCAGGAATCTGCAAAGTCTACCCAGGGGCTTTGCTCCCCAACAGAGCTTTGAGATGGTCGGGGTCCATCACTTCTTGCAGGTGCCCCAAAATTCACATACATTAGAAGGGGCCCCCACCCTGTAATAGTGACTATAACGACTATATTAGGGCCCCATTATATTCCTAGTATACCTCGTTCGTACACTCCGCCCGCGAACTAAAGGCTTACCCTTAGAACTATATGGTGATCACAATACCCCACACTAGGATAATAGTACAACTAGGACAGAGTGGAGTCTTCCATGAAGCCCCAAGCAGCCGAAGCAACCCCGCCCCCCCCAAACAAAAGCGCAGAAGAATCGAGACTATTCAAGTGTGGACTCTTCTGCACCCATGGAACAAATATGAAATAATTGTTTATTCAACTCCTTGGAGTTTTGTTGCAATAAACATAGAACGTCATCATTTCTAAGAACACTACAGGACTTACAATGTAGCTTACTTGCAGCTCATGTTATGCATCAATCATTTTTAAAGTCAAGAGTCCGGTGCCAAGACTTCGCAGCCAAAGGATTCTTCAACAGTTGACAAGATGCTTAGATGTCTATGTACTAAGACCTTGGTGACTTCTTGGAAGGTGTACCATCTTCAAGGAGAGTCGCACTGGCCCAACTAAGATCCTCATCGAAAGACTTGAGTCAAGGTTACCAGCCCCTAAAAACCAGCAGGGTGCCTATCATCGGGGACGCAAAGATGCCCACCAGCTTTTGTGGTCACTTTGGGTCCGCTGCACGGCCTGCGGGATTTCCGGGAAATTTTATCTGCATATGTACTCTACATGTTCGTATATCTCGGTCAAACCATCGGTAAACCTGAATTTCATGGCTCACTCTATAAATCGATCTATCTGTCGCCTTGCAGCATCACCACGACGATCACTCCACCACCACCAGCAGCAAGCACTACCACAACAATAGCGCAATGGTTATACCTAGACCCCCAAAGTATGTAGAATCATGGCCTTTTATAGGGATTTGGCCATTATTTTACCTACTTTGGGGGGTTAGGCAACATGGACAGGATGAAGCTTGGTACCTCGCAATCGGGCCGGAGCTTCAGGCAGTCGGACAAGCACCCCTAAAGGGAACTCCAGAAAGTTCGAATATGGTTTCATGGTAGGATACCCTATGATTTACCATAGAAGGGTTAGGATAATCATATTCCAACTTTCTGGCTTTTACCCCAATCCTAAAACACTTGTAACAAATTGGTGCCCGGTACGATGACCCAACCTGTGCCTGGAGAGCCGGGCTGACATGTCTTGATGGATGGTTTGTGTTGTTTTGGTTCTGCCTCGACTTGTCTTTAAAATTGGGACGAGGCGACATGCTCTTCAAGCAAGCGCTCTATGGGTCAATATATTATGTTTTTGGTAACCTGTTGAAGAGGGCTGGGACAGCTGTGAGCGGGACCTTCATTCGCTACCGGAAATGTCGCTTTTCTTACAGTATAAAGGAGTTCGGGAGTGGCATACATAGATTTCGGTTTCACACGCACATCTCTGCTTCACGTGCTACAAAGAACAGGTGAATCAACAACCAGAGAACGGCAAACCCTCAGAGAAATGCAGGCTACTACGGCGACTAAACTAGTAAACAAACATTCCAAAGCTTATGAATCCCACATTAACCTCAACACGAGCCTGCCACAGATGTTGTTGGCCTGCACTATTCGCCTGGGCTCCGGATCGGAGGAGTGTAGCACTGTAAGGGCTGATCGCGAGCACCCCTACGTAGGAAGATCCTTTCCGGCCAGCTGAGGAACTCAGCTTGACCAGGATCAGATTAATGATTAATGCATCCACGATGGACGGAGACAAGAAACAACACCGCTTCTGCGGCTAAAACGCTCCAACGTGCTGTTCACGCGCGCCTTTCCAAGGATGTAGCAGGAGGAAGCGTAGTTTTACATGGCACGTGCAGCACTTTCAGGCTTTGCAACAATGGGAACTGAAGAAGGTCGACGCACGGAAACTATCTGTATTTTGGTAAGAAATGCGCTGCGGCTTAGGTTTTGGACACATCGAGGCGTTTAAGTAAAGCTGTTCACGGAACAAGCTGCTTCGCGCAGGTTTTGCTTTTCAGGCATTCAGAGTCTGACCCACATGGATGCTCTGGGGGCATGGATATGGTCTGATCTGGACGTTATCATGGTTGGCACATGGATGCTCTGCGGGCATGGATATGGTCTGATCTGGACGTTATCATGGTTGGCACATGGATGCTCTGCGGGAATGGATATGGTCTGATCTGGACGTTATCATGGTTGGCACATGGATGCTCTGCGGGCATGGATATGGTCTGATCTGGACGTTATCATGGTTGGCACATGGATGCTCTGCGGGCATG